CGAAAGCTTCAAATCAAGATGTAATGTACTGTTGGCGCAGGTGCGGTGAGTGGCCAGCACCACGCCCGGCCGCCTTTGTCTCTCCAAGTCACACACACGCACACCAGAACACGCACGTCCCACGCCGCACGATAACATTTCACATTTTTTTATTCAACTCGTTGCTGTGTAATAGCAATCAATGAATTAGCGACAAACGTCCAATGCACAGCATCAACAGTTACAATGCCTGCACGTGTCTTCCATCGCACGTGGATTGAGGAGGTGGGGGGGGGTAATACTAAAACCACTTTCCACTGAGCCGAGGACTATGGCGCTATAGGTTCACCTCGTCTCCAGGTGCGGGTGTTACCTTGAGCACGACTTCCTGGAATAACCGGTTTTGCTCTTCACGTCTCGGGATTAACCGGTTCATTATTTATTTATGCCCGAAACGACGTGGCCAGAAGCGAGCTGCCTAGTTTTGATCGGGAGGGGTCCAACAACAACCCCGCAATGACCCAGCGTGGTGAAGTATGGCCAATTACACCCCCCCCCCCCCCCACCGACGTGGTAAAGTCTTCATCCAGCAGTGGGATTGACCAATGACATTGATGATAATAAGTTCGCGTGCAGGAGAGGGATCGCGGCTTAGCGAGAAGGCGAGACTTGCAGAGGGAGCGGGGAGGCCATCCAGCAGTAGATAGTCCACGGCTCACGATGGTGATGGCGCTCAAGAGCAGGAGCTTCAGTGTCGATCTCTAAGCAACCCGTGGCCCGCACACGACATTTAATTAAAATAAAAACTGCCTGCATTTCCATTGTTAAACCTGCAGAGTGTTTAATTGTCTTACTTGAAGCCAGATTAACGGATCTCAATGGGCACTCATGTGATTTAAATAAAGGAAGTCAACCCACGAGTGAACACCAGTTGCAGTGTGTACGGATGTCTACAGCATATACAGGTGTAGTGCAGTCTACAGGTGTAGTAGAGTTTACAGGTGTAGGGCAGTCTACAGGTGTAGTAGAGTCTACAGGTGTAGTAGAGTCTACAGGTGTAGGAGAGTCTACAGGTGTAGGACAGTCTACAGGTGTAGGAGAGTCTACAGGTGTAGTAGAGTCTACAGGTGTAGGATAGTCTACAGGTGTAGTAGAGTTTACAGGTGTAGGACAGTCTACAGGTGTAGTAGAGTCTACAGGTGTAGTAGAGTCTACAGGTGTAGGAGAGTCTACAGGTGTAGTAGAGTCTACAGGTGTAGGACAGTCTACAGGTGTAGTAGAGTCTACAGGTGTAGTGCAGTCTACAGGTGTAGTAGAGTCTACAGGTGTAGGACAATCTACAGGTGTAGGACAGTCTACAGGTGTAGTAGAGTCTACAGGTGTAGGAGAGTCTACAGGTGTAGGATAGTCTACAGGTGTAGTGGAGTCTACAGGTGTAGGACAGTCTACAGGTGTAGTAGAGTCTACAGGTGTAGTAGAGTCTACAGGTGTAGTGGAGGCTACAGGTGTAGTAGAGTCTACAGGTGTAGTGAAGTCTACAGGTGTAGTAGAGTCTACAGGTGTAGGACAGTCTACAGGTGTAGTGCAGTCTACAGGTGTAGTAGAGTCTACAGGTGTAGTAGAGTCTACAGGTGTAGTGCAGTCTACAGGTGTAGTAGAGTCTACAGGTGTAGGAGAGTCTACAGGTGTAGGACAGTCTACAGGTGTAGTAGAGTCTACAGGTGTAGGACAGTCTAAAGGTGTAGTAGAGTCTACAGGTGTAGGACAGCCTACAGGTGTAGTGCAGTCTGCAGGTGTAGTATAGTGCAGTCTGCAGGTGTAGTAGAGTCTACAGGTGTAGTAGAGTCTACAGGTGTAGAGTCTACAGGTGTAGTGGAGTCTAGAGGTGTAGTAGAGTCTACAGGTGTAGTGCAGTCTACAGGTGTAGTAGAGTCTACAGGTGTAGTAGAGTCTACAGGTGTAGGACAGTCTACAGGTGCAGTAGAGTCTAGAGGTGTAGTAGAGTCTACAGGTGTAGTAGAGTCTAGAGGTGTAGTAGAGTCTGCAGCTGTAGTGCAGTCTGCAGGTGTAGTAGAGTCTACAGGTGTAGGACAGTCTACAGGTGTAGTAGAGTCTACAGGTGTAGGACAGTCTACAGGTGTAGGACAGTCTAAAGGTGTATAGAGTCTACAGGTGTAGTAGAGTCTACAGGTGTAGGACAGTCTACAGGTGTAGTAGAGTCTACAGGTGTAGGACAGTCTACAGGTGTAGTGCAGTCTACAGGTGTAGTGCAGTCTACAGGTGTAGTAGAGTTTACAGGTGTAGTGCAGTTTACAGGTGTAGTAGAGTCTACAGGTGTAGTAGAGTCTACAGGTGTAGGAGAGTCTACAGGTGTAGGACAGTCTACAGGTGTAGTAGAGTCTACAGGTGTAGTAGAGTCTACAGGTGTAGGACAGTCTACAGGCGTAGTAGAGTCTACAGGTGTAGGATAGTCTACAGGTGTAGTGCAGTCTGCAGGTGTAGTAGAGTCTACAGGTGTAGGACAGTCTACAGGTGTAGTGCAGTCTACAGGTGTAGTGCAGTCTACAGGTGCAGTAGAGTTTACAGGTGTAGTGCAGTTTACAGGTGTAGTAGAGTCTACAGGTGTAGTAGAGTCTATAGGTGTAGGAGAGTCTACAGGTGTAGGACAGTCTACAGGTGTAGTAGAGTCTACAGGTGTAGTAGAGTCTACAGGTGTAGGACAGTCTACAGGCGTAGTAGAGTCTACAGGTGTAGGATAGTCTACAGGTGTAGTGCAGTCTGCAGGTGTAGTAGAGTCTACAGGTGTAGTAGAGTCTACAGGTGTAGTAGAGTCTACACGTGTAGAGTCTACAGGTGTAATAGAGTCTACAGGTGTAGTAGAGTCTACAGGTGTAGTAGAGTCTACAGGTGTAGGACAGTCTACAGGTGTAGTAGAGTCTACAGGTGCAGTAGAGTCTACAGGTGTAGGACAGTCTACAGGTGTAGTAGAGTCCTCAGGTGTAGTAGAGTCTAGAGGTGTAGTAGAGTCTACAGGTGTAGTAGAGTCTACAGGCGTAGTGCAGTCTACAGGTGTAGTAGAGTCTACAGGTGTAGTAGAGTCTACAGGTGTAGGACAGTCTACAGGTGTAGTAGAGTCTACAGATGTAGTAGAGTCTAGAGGTGTAGTAGAGTCTACAGGTGTAGTAGAGTCTAGAGGTGTAGTAGAGTCTACAGGTGTAGTGCAGTCTACAGGTGTAGGACAGTCTACAGGTGTAGTAGAGTCTACAGGTGTAGGACAGTCTACAGGTGTAGGACAGTCTACAGGTGTAGTAGAGTCTACAGGAGTAGTAAAGTCTACAGGTGTAGGACAGTCTACAGGTGTAGTAGAGTCTACAGGTGTAGGACAGTCTGCAGGTGTAGTGCAGTCTACCGGTGTAGTAGAGTCTACAGATGTAGTAGAGTCTACAGGTGTAGGACAGTCTACAGGTGTAGGACAGTCTACAGGTATAGAAGAGTCTACAGGTGTAGGACAGTCTACAGGTGTAGGACAGTCTACAGGTATAGTAGAGTCTATAGGTGTAGGACAGTCTACAGGTGTAGTAGAGTCTACAGGTGTAGTAGAGTCTACAGGTGTAGGACAGTCTAGGTGTAGGACAGTCTACAGGTTATGACAGCCGGGCTAAAACCATCACGGACCCGGAAGCAGTAGGCCGGCCTGAACGATTCAAACACACAAACACACGCGCGCACACACACACACGGGCACGCACAAAAGACAAAGCTCCCCCGTATAGCCTTAACAGACTTCAGGGGCAAGTGCTGTTAGCGAGCATCTATGAAGGCGGGATCGGTACACGAGGGGGTGGGTGGCCAGCACCACGCCCGACCGCCTTTGTCTCCCCAGTGGCGATGTTTACACACCGCACCAGGGACTCATCTGAGGCTGAGTCGACCTAGGGGAGGCCCAGGACCGGTTCAGCTAATCGTCACCAGTGTTGGCCGTGAGCGGGAATCGAACCCGGGTCGCCAGGTTCATAGCACAGCGTAGCGCAAACCGTTACACTATCGCTCCCCACACACACACAGGCGCACACAAACAACCGCCATTCGCCACTAAGTGGCGGTGACGTCACCACGACGCTTGTGCCAGGCCGTGTGCACCTTGAGGCCACGTGAAGTGTCGAATGCCCGCAGGCAGGGGGTCACGGGGCAGACCCAGGTGCCACGGGTCGACTGACTGAGATGACCTAGATGACTGGCTGGTGCACCACCTGTGCCCCCTACTGTGCCAACCTGCTGTGCCTTAGCCACCCGGCGCTCCGCTCGTTGTTGTGAGCGTCGCTCCTCCGCCCTCCGTTGTTGTTGGAGGGCGACTGCCTCCAACTGCCCAGTAGCGTCCTTCACGAGCCTCCTCCACAGAGGCCGATCTTGACACCGCTGGTACCAGTCATCGGCAAGTCCACTCAGCTCCACGTCCTCCTGTACCACATCACTCCATCTCTTTTCTAGCCCGTGCTGTTTCGGCATGCGGTGGCTGGGCATGCGGGCTACATGACCCAGCCAACGCAGCCTTGCGCCGGAGGAGCTCACCGATGGGACCTTGCCCAGATCTTTCAAGGATTTGTGAGCTCCTCACACAATCCAGCCTGGTTAAACCCAGGATGGATCGTAGGCAGGCTAGCCTAAATGTTTCCAACCGGCGAAGATGTTCCATTAGGGGAGTCCACGTTTCGCAAGCGTAGACACACACACGCACACACACACAACAACAACCGCCATTCGTCACTAAGTGGCGGTGACGTCACCACGACACTTGTGCCAGGCCATGTGCACCTTGAGGCCAGGTGGAGTGTCGAACGCCCGCTGGCAGGAGGTCACGGGGCAGACCCAGGTGCCACGGGTCAACTGACTGAGATGACTGGCTGATGCACCACCTGTGCCCCCTACTGTGCCAACACACACACACGCGCTCACACACACACACGCACGGACTCGCGCCACACGCACACCCCCCTGCCCCCCCCCCCCCCCCACTCGCGGCGTCAGTGACCCAAGGCCCCCCCAGCCGCCGTCCTCCTCCCCCTGGCGCCCTCCGTGCCCCTGACCCTGCGTCGCAGGCACGAGTAGACGGCGAGCAGGCAGAGCGAGGAGCAGGCGTAGAGCAGGGCGCACAGCCCCGCGTCCACCGCCGAGAAGTCGCCGGCTCGCACGGCGAGGCGACTGCCGCCCGCGCGTCTCCACCGCTCCTCCTCCTCCTCCGCCGCCGCCGCCGTCGCGGTCGTCATCGTCCGGGCCGCCCGCCGTCCCGCGTCGCCCTCCGCCGCCGCCGCCCCTTGCGTCCTCCACCGCTGCAGCTGCCGCTCTTCGAAGGCGTCCAGGTCGACCATGGGGTCTTCCCGACGCGCCGGAGGAGGCGCTGCGACGTCCCCGGCGACGTCCCCGGCGACGTCCCCGGCGTCGTCGTCGGCCCCGCGGCCGCGGTGGCCCCGCGGCGCCGGGGGCCGCTCCGTGTCGCCGGCGAACTCGGAGGCGCAAGGCGGGGAGAGGAAGTCGAGGGCGACGTTGTCGGCCGAGAAGTGGCGCTTGAGGAAGCGCAGCACGGACGCCTCGTCCCAGGTCCAGCGAGCGCCGAGCGACACGCGGCACTCGGGGCAGAGGGCCGCCGGCGGCCACGGGGCCTTGGGGAAGGCCGGGTCGTCGGCGCGCGAGCCTGCGGCGGGAGCAGCGCGGAACGTCGCGTCGTAAAGCCCCTCCGCCACCCGACGCGGCCAATGAACGGAGTCGTCGAGTGACGAACTAACGTTGGGCCGATGTGTGCGGGGGAGCGGTGGGTGCAGCGGTTAGGGGCCACGCTGCGCTGTCAAATCCAGCCGCCCGAGTTCGAATCCCGCTCACGGCCAACATCGGTGACGATTATCTGAACCGGTCCTGGGCCTCCCCTAGGTCGACTCAGCCTCAAAATTAGTACCTGGTGCAGTGCGTAAACATCCCCCACTGAGGACAAATGCGGCAGGTGCTGCTCGCTAAGAGCACTTGTCCCAACACTTTGTTGATGCTACACGGCGGATTTTTGTCTTTGGGGAGATGAATAACGACATTGGAGGCTTCCCCGGAGGCGCACGGAGCCTCGGGTGACAGCGCCGGTAAATCCACGGGGTGACTGCGCCCGGGCCTCCACTTAGCGGAGCCACCACTGCCCAAGCAGCCTGGGCTCGAGTCCTGCGTTGATTATTCTGCTTGGTTGGTGGCCGGGTGATGGTGGTGGTGTTGGTGGTGTTGGTGGTGTTGGTGGTGGTGTTGGTGGTGGTGTTGGTGGTGTTGGTGGTGGTGTTGGTGGTGGTGTTGGTGGTGTTGGTGGTGGTGGTGTTGGTGTTGGTGGTGGTGTTGGTGGTGGTGTTGGTGGTGGTGTTGGTGGTGGTAATGGTGGTGGTAATGGTGATGGTGGTGGTGTTGGTGGTGGTGTTGGTGGTGGTGTTGGTGGTGTTGGTGATGGTGGTGGTGTTGGTGTTGGTGGTGGTGGTGATGGTGGTGGTGATGGTGGTGGTGTTGGTGGTGTTGGTGGTGATGGTGGTGGTGTTGGTGGTGGTAATGGTGATGTTGGTGGTGATGGTGGTGGTGATGGTGGTGGTGTTGGTGGTGGTAATGGTGATGTTGGTGGTGATGGTGGTGGTGTTGGTGGTGGTGTTGGTGATGGTAATGGTGGTGGTAATGGTGATGTTGGTGGTGTTGGTGGTGTTGGTGGTGATGTTGGTGGTGTTGGTGGTGGTGGTGGTGGTGTTGGTGGTGTTGGTGGTGATGTTGGTGGTGATGGTGGTGGTGGTGTTGGTGGTGATGTTGGTGGTGATGTTGGTGGTGATGGTGGTGGTGTTGGTGGTGGTAATGGTGGTGGTAATGGTGATGTTGGTGGTGATGGTGGTGGTGGTGTTGGTGGTGTTGGTGGTGATGGTGGTGGTGTTGGTGGTGGTGTTGGTGGTGGTGTTGGTGATGGTAATGGTGGTGGTGTTGGTGGTGGTGATGGTGGTGGTGTTGGTGGTGGTGTTGGTGGTGATGGTGGTGGTGTTGGTGGTGGTGGTGTTGGTGGTGGTGTTGGTGGTGGTAATGGTGATGTTGGTGGTGATGGTGGTGATGTTGGTGGTGATGGTGGTGGTGTTGGTGGTGGTGTTGGTGGTGATGGTGGTGGTGTTGGTGGTGGTGTTGGTGGTGATGGTGGTGGTGTTGGTGGTGATGGTGGTGGTGTTGGTGGTGATGTTGGTGGTGGTGTTGGTGGTGGTGTTGGTGGTGGTAATGGTGGTGGTAATGGTGATGTTGGTGGTGATGGTGGTGGTGTTGGTGGTGATGGTGGTGGTGGTAATGGTGGTAATGGTGGTGGTAATGGTGGTGGTAATGGTGATGTTGGTGGTGATGGTGGTGGTGTTGGTGTTGGTGGTGGTGTTGGTGGTGGTAATGGTGGTGGTAATGGTGATGTTGGTGGTGATGGTGGTGGTGTTGGTGGTGGTGTTGGTGGTGGTAATGGTGGTGGTAATGGTGATGTTGGTGGTGATGGTGGTGGTGTTGGTGGTGGTGTTGGTGGTGGTGGTGTTGGTGATGTTGGTGGTGGTGTTGGTGGTGGTGTTGGTGGTGGTAATGGTGGTGGTAATGGTGATGTTGGTGGTGGTGATGGTGGTGGTGATGTGGGTGATGGTGATGTCAATGGTTTGATTAATGGAATAGCGAGGGTCCATGATGATGATGGCAGTGATGTTGGTGGTGGTGATGGTGGTGGTGCTGGTGGTGGTGTTGATGGTGGTGGTTTGATTAATGGAATAGCGAGGGTCAATGATGATGATGGCAGTGATGTTGGTGGTGGTGATGGTGGTGGTGATGGTGGTGGTGATGGTGGTGGTGATGTCGGTGGTGGTGATGTCGGTGGTTTGATTAATGGAATAGCGAGGGCCCATGATGATGGTGGTGATGCTCAGTGATTATGATGATAAATTAACGAGCAGAGAAGTGAAAGGCAATTATGAAATGATGAGTATGATGGTGATAATGATTACCTGATTAATAGTGCAAGGATGGTGATGATAAATTAACAGTCAAGTGAGAGTCATGATGAATTATAATAATAATTGATGAACTGATGATTATGGTGAACTGATTAACAAGTTATGGTGATGATGACTCCCACAGTCTCCCCCATCCTCACCCTCACCACCTCCCCACAAGCCCTTTCCTCTCACACCAGCTCCCTCCTCCCTCGCTCTCCCCACCCCTTCCTCACCCCCCCCCCCCCCATTCTCTCTCTCCCGTCCGTCCAACCGCTCACCAACTCCCCCCTTCCCCTCCTTCCCCTCGTTAGTCGCTGCCGCGAGCGATCACTCATAGCGGCGATCCTAACGGCGCAAATTAATTGCCTATAAAATTCCACTTATGAGGAGGACCCCGCGTCCTAAGGCGCGGCTCCACGAGGCCGTGTTTAAATGCGCGAAGGCACGGCGAGAATCCCGGGCGAGAATCCCGGGCAATCCGCGGATTGAGCGCGCCATCTCGGCGCAGTAAAATTCGCGCTTAATTTGATTCGAATTTAGATTTAGAACTGCGGCGGCAGACAGAGCCACGTGCTCGCCGTTTAATTGATGGGTGGTGGACGAGAGTGGGCACGTGCGTGCGAGAGTGTGTGAGTGTGTGTAGAGTGTGTAGAGTGTGTGGAGAGTGTGTGAGAGTATGAGAGTGTGTGGAGAGTGTGTGGAGAGTGTGAGAGTGGGCACGTGCGTGCGAGAGTGTGAGAGTGTGTGGAGAGTGTGTTGAGAGTGTGTGAGAGTGTGTGAGAGTGTGTGAGTGTGTGCCGGTAGTGTAGCAGTTAGCGCTACGCTGCGCTACGAACCCGGCGGCCCGAGTTCGATTCCCGCTCACAGCCAACATCGGTGATGATTATTTGAACCGGTCCTGGACCTCCCCTAGGTCGGCTCGGCCTCAAATGAGTGTTGCGGTGTGTAAACATCGCCGCTCGGGAGACAAAAGCGGCCGGGCGTGGTTCTAACCAAACCACTTGTAACAGCAAGTGTGGTTGTACCAGTGAGTGCGGTTGTACCAGTGAGTGCGGTTGTACCGGTGAGTGCGGTTGTACCGGTGAGTGCGGTGAGTGCGGTTGTATCGGTGAGTGCAGTGAGTGTGATTGTACCGGCGAGTGTGGCGAATGTGGCGAGTGCGGCGAGTGTGGCGAATATGGCGAGTGTGGCGAGTGTGGCGAGTGTGGCGAGTGTGGCGAGTGTGGTGAGTGTGGTCAGTGTGGTTGTACCGGCGAGGCGCGCGTTGACGTGGTTGTGCTGCCGCCACAGCCACAGCGCGGCCGCGTCGGCGTCGCGCACCGCCGCTGCGCCCTGGCGCACCGCGGCGTCGAAGTGGAGCGCACACGACCGGCACGAGAAGAAGTGAGCCACGTAGCCCCGCACGGCACGCAGCACCTCCAGCGGGTCCCACGCAGGAGCTGCACGCCGGGGCACCGGGGGGGGGGCGTCACGCAGGGGGTCACGGGTGCAGGGGGCATCACGTGGAGACAACAAGGACACATGGGGAGACGCGCGCACGGACACGGAAGTGGTGATGGTGGTGGTGGCGGCGGCGACGGTAGTGGTATTGGTGGTGGTATTGGTGGCATTGGTGGTAGTGATGGCAGAGGTGGTGGTGGTAGCGGTGACAGTGGGGGTATTGGTGGTGGAGGTGGTGGCGGTGACAGTGGTGGTATTGGTGGTGGTATTGGTGGTGGTGGTAGTGGTGGTATTGGTGGTGGTATTGGTGGTGGTAGTGGTGGTATTGGTGGTGGTGATAGCAGAGGTGGTGGTGGTGGCGGTGACAGTGGGGGTATTGGTGGTGGAGGTGGTGACGGTGACAGTGGTGGTATCGGTTGTGGTGGTGATGGCAAAGGTGGTGGCGGTGACGGTGGTGGTATTGGTGGTGGTGGTGATGTCGTCTTGGCAAGGGATTATGGGAGGGTCGGGTTTTCCGATTGTCATGAAATCTCGCGGAGATAAGCAATGCACTTTGCTGCTCATGTCCTTAATGTGATCTCACATTAACCTATTTCTACAGGCAAGGGCCTCGGAAAGACTGCACGCACGCACACGCACGCACACGAACGCACGCACACACACAGACACAGCACAGAAGAGTATGCCATGAGGCCAGAAGAGTCTCTGACCATCGACTAATTTCATTTGAGCAGTGACAACAAACCCGAAATGGGTGAGAACGTCGTGCGAGTGCAACGTCGATATTGAGCAATGGCCCTCCACCACCCAGCAGACAGCGACAATCGAATGAAGTGGAAACGTGGGCAGAAAAAAGCGGCGAGTGATTTTTTTTTCATTTCGGCAAAACTGCAAGGTGGAGGGTGGGGGGGGGTGTTGAAACGCAACCAAAAAATGATAGAACAAAATTTTAGAAAAGAATTGTAGAAAAAAAATCGTCCATCCATCCTCCGGTTTTGCCGATGCACCAAATGAATTGGGGGCACAGGCTGATGGTGACAATGCTGGTGATAAGATCGCGGATGATGATTATGATCATCATGATAATGATCATCGTGATTATTCTAATCATGGTTATAACGATGATGTAAACGACGAACCAAACTGCTGACGATACTGACATCACGACGAAGACAATGATGACGACGATGACGTTGATGATGATGTCGGTGACTATAACGACAGCGATGACGATGAACGCAACCTAAATTCTCGGCAAGGGATTCAGAATCAGAATGTTTACATTTCTATACTCGAGGAATCCGATGAGCTATAAAGCTCTTTTTCATAGATGTCCAGTAGGATTATGGGAGGGGAGGGTTTTCCGATTGTCATGAAATATTGCTGCCCGACGGCAATGATGATATGATCATAACGATGATGATGACGACGGCGATGATGATATGATCATAAAGATGATGACAACGACGATATCATGATCATGATGATGATGATATGATCATGAAGATGATGACAACGATGATACGATCAATACGATGATGATGACGACGATGATATCATGATCATGATGATGATGACGATATGATCATAACGATGATGATCATAACGATGATATGACTTAAAGCTTTCGTGACTGCAGGAATTAATATTCTTTGGGTCTTTCGGTAGAGGCACGTAAATAGGTTAAAAGAAAATAACAACATTTTCTTTGATCGTATTATCGTCATCATTATCTTTATGATCATAACATCATCGCCGTCATCGTCATCATCTTTATGATCATATCATCGCCGTCGTCGTCATCATCGTTATGATCATATCACCGTCGTCGTCTTTGAACCTATCTACATGACTTTACCGAAAGACCCAAAGAAGATGATGACATGATCATAACGATTATATCATCATAACGACGACGATGATGATATCATGATCATGGCGACGGCCATATGATCATAACGACGATGATGATGATATCATGACCATAACGACGACGATACATGACCTTAACGACGACGCCGATGATATCATGATCATGACGACGACGCCGATGATATCATGATCATGACGACGACCATATGATCATGGCGACGACGCCGATGATATAATGATCATGACGACGACGCCGATGAGATCATGATCATGACGACGACAAAGGCGACGACAGCGGTAACGCCACGGCCTGCCCCTTACCGTCCCCCGTGGCGACGAGGGAGTCGTTGGCGATGGCTGCGGAGGCGGCGAGCACGTGGAACAGGCCCCAGAGCGCGCACGGGAGGCCTCCGTGCCGCGGGCCCGAGCCCTGGCACCCCACCCACGTGGCCACGTCCGGCAGGAGGTCGCCGCCTTCCTGCTGCCCGCGACCAAACGGCGACGCGTCGAGCCCGGCGTGCACTTGTCTGGCGCAGGCGTGCGCGTGTCTGCAGCCGTGTGGCCACGTGTCGGTCCCTCTCTCCCCGTGGCTCTCTGCCCGTGGCTCTCCCCGTGTCTCCCGGTGTCTTCCCATGTCTCCGCCCGTGTCTCTTCCCGTATCTCTCCCCGTGGCTCTCTCCCCGTGGCTCTCTCCCCGTGGCTCTCTGCCCGTGGCTCTCCCCGTGTCTCTCCGTATCTCTGTGTGTCTGCCCCCCGCCCCCCGTGTCTCTCCGTGTCTCTGTGTGTCTGCCCCCCCCCCCCACCCCCGTGTCTCTGCGTGTGCTCACGGCGTGGCTGCCGTCGAGGAGTCGCTCGAGTTCGAGCGAGGTGACGCGACGCCGCGGGGGCAGCGCCTCGAGCCAGCGGAGCACCGACTCGAGCAGGCGCAGCACGCACGCACGCCCGGGGAGGAACTGGCACGCGCCGGGGGGGAGGGGGGGCCGGGGGAGACAAAGGTGGCCGGGGACGGAGGAAGGAAATTGGGGTGGGGGGGGAACGCACGGCAACTTTCGTTACATCTGTCCATCCACTCGCCCGCGCCTCTGTCCGTCTATACACATCCATCCGTCTGTCCGTTAACGGGTGTGTTCGTATGTCCGTACGTTCATCCGTCCACCCGTGCGTCTGTCCATCCGTGTTTGTTTGTCCGTGTGCCAGTCCATCGGTCTGACCATTCGTCCATCCATCCATCAGCCGTCCATTTCTCCGTGAGTCCGTCCATCTGTCCGTCTGTTCGTGTCGGCGACGTCTATCTACGGCCATCCTTCCGTGCATTGTGGAGCAGACAACAACAACAGGAACCAAAACATTCAAAACAAATCTCTCGGATATTGCGATAGTTTTGAAAAAACAACGACCTAAAACAAGATGTGTTTAACGTGCACGCTTTCGCGACAAATATTATTTATCCATAATAAAGTTTTTTTTGGGGGGGGGAGGGGGGGTGTTAGATCACGTAAATAAAAATGTGTTGTTAAACCTGCCACCTACTTGACAAAGCCATTTGGCATGTTCTGTTTACGTGACAAACCTTACTAATTGGCTGTGTCGGGTGGTGGGGGGTTTACCGACATTTATCTTTACACGATCTAACCCAAAAGAAACCTATATTGTGGAGAAGATCTGCGTTCGGAAAGAGAGCGGGGCATTCAGCCACAGGTGTGAGAGACGAGTCCAAGACAAATACACGCACACTTGGATATCACGGGCAGTGGGATTGATGGACAAACAGACAGATGGACACTGGATGGATGGACCGACAGACAGGCGTACGAATAATCAGACTCACTGACTAATGGACGGACAGATAAAGTGGAAGCACACGTGACTTGACAAATTGATGGATGGACAGGTGGACGGAGAATATGGATGGCCCGGATGGATGGAGGGAACGACCATGATCAATCCACTGCTGGATGGAAGCCTTCCCGCCCCCCCCCCCCCCCTAAGCTGTCACCAACTGCTCACGAATCCGCGCAGCGCCGATTTAATTTATTTCCCCATCGCTCTGAGCCGTTTAAACACGAAGCGTGAATTCGCATGATAATTTAATAATAATAATAAAAAGACAGCACGCAGACTCTATAACCGTGGCCCCGACCGCGAAAAGACTAAACCTTTGAAACGACAACTATGAGAATCAGATTATCAACAATCGTGGTGGTTTGTGTTTTTGTTATACTAATTCACAAACTCAGTATGGAGAGAGTGGGGGGGGGCAGGGTGGGGAGACGCGGAAATGCCTAAGCTCTGCACTGCTCCGGCTAATGCCGTCTCGGAGCCCTCTCGCGATATTAATTCCGAATTAGTGTTTTGAGCGCCACGCAGAATTCCATTTGCCCGCAGCGTCGCGTAAATCCGTCGGAGCAAAAAAATTCCCTTTTTTTTTATACAGCAAAGAAAACAGCTTTGGCTTATTAGAATGCATCTCTCCTCGGCCTACTGGGGCTTGTGATAACTCTCTTTCACCTCGCTACACCGAAACCCTCTCTCTGATTAAATTAAGGGACATTAAAAGCCTAATGGAAGCAGGACGGGAAGGAGGGGATGGTGGTGGCGGCGGCGGCGGTGGCGGTGGTGGAGAGGCGACTCGCAGTGAGCCAGCGAGAGTGCGAGTGAGCTTTTCTGCATCTCCCATGTGACATTTCCTAAAAGCCATCACTAAACCTTGTCATCTTAGGCCTTGGTTAATGCACCTCCCTCTCTCTCTCCCCCTCTCTCTGCCGTTTCGCGTCTGCTGCCACTCTGCCCGCTCTCAACAAGCAGACTCCTCTCTGTTGTACGCTCGCTCTCTCTCTCTCTGATTCCCTCTCTCCGATTCTTTCACTCGCTCTCCCGTCTCTCCTCTCTCTCTGCTGCTCTCTGCTGCCCCTGTCTGATTCTCTCTCACGTGCTCTCTCGACATGTTGCGATAGCACTCCCCCTCTCTCTCTCTGTGCATCTCTCTCTGGCCCGCTTACCTCTCTGTCGTTCTCTCTGTTTTGTTGTTGTGTTACTCTCACACGGTCACTCACTCCCTTTCTCTCTGCTTCTCCATAGCCCTCTGTGCTTCTCCTTGTCCCCCCCCCTCTCTCTCGTCCACCACTCTCGCCACTCCCCACTGGCCAAGGCTCTAATCGAGTCGCTGTCCGGCTCTCAGCCCCTCAGGGGAATGGGAAGGGGCCTTAGCCCCCCCCCCCCCCCCACCAGAGACGCTCACATTGTGACCCCGGGGGCTCAGGCCGAGTGCGTGGAGTGCCAAACCAAATGGAACACCAACAACAACAACAACAACCACAACAACAACAACCACACCAACAACAGCAACAACAACAACCACACCAACAACAACCACGCCAACAATAACCACGCCAACAAGAACCACGCCAACAATAACTATAACATCAACAATAACCACACCAACAACCACACCAATAACAACCACGCCAACAAGAACCACACCAACAACAACCACGCCAACAACAACCATCACATCAGTAATAACCACACCAACAACCACACCAACAACAACCACACCAACAACAACCATGCCAACAACAACCACACCAACAACAACGACACCAACAACAACCACACCAACAACAACCACACCAACAACAACCACACCAACAATAAGTATAACATCAGCAATAACCACACCAACAACCACACCAACAACAACCACACCAACAACAACCACACCAACAACAACCACACCAACAATAAGTATAACATCAGCAATGACCACACCAACAACCACACCAACAACAACCACACCAACAACAAGAACAGTAAAAACAAGGCAGCCACTGCCACGTGCTGGGAGTGAAGCGAACGGGACACATGGGAGGGTGTGGGGGTATCACCAATGCTGGGGGGGCGGGGGCATGGGGGGGTGGTGGGGGGCATGGGGGTGGGGGGCATGGGGGGTGGTGTGGGGGGTCACCTTCACGAGGACCCGAACGAAGTTCTTGAGTGCGGCGAGCGAGGCCCCCGAGAGCTCTGTCCGCGTGCCCACCTCGAGGCGCAGCGCGTAGTGCAGGGCTCCCTCCAGGTCGGCCATGTACACCTTAGACCTGGTCCCACGACAGGGGAATCAGAGCGGCCCGCGGGTGGCACGGCCCTTCAGCCCCTGCTGTTGCCGCGTGGAGAACTTCTGTCGCGCCGTACGCAGCCAACCGTGCTCATCGGAGGTGGCGGTGCCGCCGCCGCCGCCGCTGAAGGTGACGACGCAAATGAGACGGAGGCGAAAACCCCGACTGGGACGGGTGGTGCCGGAGAGGTGCACGATGCGCGTTAAGTTGGCGACGCAGAGGGAGCGAGGCGGCAACGTTCGAGACGACGCCGGCATGGCAGACGGTGCAAGCCGGGCCTGGAACAGCGAGCCAGGATTCTCGTCTCGAAGTCGGGCAGTGGGTGGGGGGGGGGCGATGGATTGAATCGGCGAATCGTGACACTGCCACTTTACACATCGAAGAGGAGAAAGAGGGGGGAGAGGGGGGTGCGTGGGAAGCCTCGACACACGAGGAAGCCACTGGAACTGTGCGAGCTTTTAAAAAATCTCGATTGAAAACTAATTTCTTGGGAACTGCTTCTTGTTGTTGTGTTTAGTGTTGTTGTCCTTCCCCCGCAACTCTGATTTGCACGGTTGGCTACGTACGGTGTGCAGAAAGTTCAACACACATACGCAAACAACATACATACACATATAACACGCATACACATACAACATACGTACAGAGATAAAGATAGCTGACAAAGTCATACATACACATGCAACATACATATAACATACATGCAACACACATCAAACATACATACACATGCAACATACATATAACATACATGCAACACACATCAAACATACATACACATGCAACATACATATAACATGCATGCAACACACATCAAACATACATACACATGCAAATTACATATAACATACATGCAACACACATCAAACATACATACACATGCAACATACATATAACATACATGCAACACACATCAAACATACATACACATGCAACATACATATAACATGCATGCAACACACATCAAACATACATACACATGCAACATACATATAACATACATGCAACACACATCAAACATACATACACATGCAACATACATATAACATGCATGCAACACACATCAAACATACATACACATGCAACATACATATAACATACATGCAACACACATCAAACATACATACATACACATGCAACATACATATAACATACATGCAACACACATCAAACATACATACACATGCAACATACATATAACATACATGCAACACACATCAAACATACATACATACACATGCAACATACATATAACATACATGCAACACACATCAAACATACATACACATGCAACATACATATAACATACATGCAACACACATCAAACATACATACATACACATGCAACATACATATAACATACATGCAACACACATCAAACATACATACACATGCAACATACATATAACATACATGAAACACACATCAAACATACATACACATGCAACATACATATAACATACATGCAACACACATCAAACATACATACATACATACACATGCAACATACATATAACATACATGCAACACACATCAAACATACATACACATGCAACATACAGCTTTGGGCACCCCCCCTCTCCATTGGGCCAAACTCTTTGGAGGTGGTGGTGAGTGGTGGTGGTGGGGTGTCGTGGGGGGTGGTGGTGGTGAGGGTGGTGGGTGGTGGTGGGTGGTAGTGGGAGGGTGGTGGGTGGTGGGGGGTGGTGGTGGGTGGTGGTGGGAGGGTGGTGTGGGTGGTTCGACTCCATGTGTGTGGGGGGGGGGGTGGAAGTGTTGGGGGTGGTGGTGTGGTGGGGGGTGGGGGTGGGGTGTGGTGGGGGGTGGTGGTGGGGTGTCGTGGGGGGTGGTGGTTGGGTGTCGTGGGGGGTGGTGGTGGGGGGTGGTGGTGAGGGTGGTGATGTGGTGAGTGGTGAGGGTGGTGGTGGTGGGAGGGTGGTGTGGGTGGTGGTGGGTGGTGGTGGTGAGGGTGGTGGTGGTGGTGGTGAGGGTGGTGGTGGGTGGTGGTGGTGAGGGTGGTGGTGGTGGGTGGTGGTGGGAGGGTGGTGTGGGTGGTTCGGCTCCATGTGTATGTGTGTGTGTGGGGGGGGGGGGGCACCTGTCGAACTCCCTCCAGGGCGCCCGCGTCTCCGCAGCGTCGCCCGGTGCGTGGGCGACTGTGGACGTCTCTCCACGCGTCACCCCCGGCAGGCGCCGCAGCTCGTAGGCGAAGAACGATCGCACCGCCATGCGGCTGTGACGAGCGGCGGGGGTGCACAACGGGAGAAGGGGGGGGGGGTTAGTGGCTAGGAGATGTTAACTACCTCGCCTGGTGTGCAGGAGGTCGTCGGTCCGATCCCGAACCCGACGCCCGCTGCTGCTGTATATTTGGAGTTTGCGGTGTCCCTCTCCCCGTGGTCGCGTGGAGTTTTCTACCCGGACCTCCGGGGTTTTCCCTCTGCATTAAGAATCAACAAGACGCGTTTAGAGTCGTTGGCTGCTGCTATAAATTCCAAAGGTGATGATGATGATAACAAGCCACTTCGTTGAGCTGTCATTTGTAATATCCAGGTCGCTTCTGAAAAAGAGCAACGTAGCAGCTCCAGTGGACCTTATCCGGTCAAGAAAAAATACATGATGTTATAGTTCTGTGTTTCTAGTCTCAGGTCAATGTGTGCCGATGGTGTCTGCCTGATTGTCGCTCGCCACCGATGTTAGCCCTGGTCGGGAATCGAACTCCGGTCCACGGCTGCGTCCGTCGGTAGCGGCGCAGGAGGAGGCGGCGAGAACTCCACGCCATTTAGTTTATATATACTATACATACTATATATACTATATACACTCTCTATATATACTATATACACTATATATACACTCTCTATATATACACTATTTATACACTATTTATACACTCTCTATATACTATATATACACTATATACACACTGGCAGTACACTCACCCAGCTTAATAACCATTGCTACAGTCTACATTATAGACTGCCAGTACACACACTCCGATTAAGAACCAGGCTACAGTCTACATTAGTGATTTTTTAATTTTTTATTATTATTAATTTGATTTGTATTCACTTTATTTTATTATTATTTTTCTATGATCGTGACTTTACCGAAAGAACCAAAGAATATATATAGTATATATACACTCTAGATATACACTCACTATACATACACTCTACATATACACTCTATATTTACACTATATATACTACTATATATAGCGGTGGGGGTGTAGGGGTGGGGGGTGTAGGTGTGGGGGGTGTAGGTGTGGGGGGTGTAGGGGTGGGGGGGTGTGACGTACACGTGCACACGCGCGCGCGTGCCGTTGGGGTGGAGGAGGAGGCACGTGGGGAAGGAATCGACTGCGAACGCGCGCACGAGGGGCGACTCGGAGCTCAGCACTCGGCGCACGGACAGTCGCTCGTACGCCAGCAGATCGAGAATCACCTGGAGAGGGGCACGCGGGAGGGGCCGTGGTGGCGTACGGGGGGGGGGGGTCAGAGGTGACGTCACACTCACGTCCCGGTCGCGATAATCGCGGCACCCCCTGCGCGCGGCGTTCATCGACAAACAAAACACGTCACATGAAAGGTAAAGAAATCGCTTTGAAAAAATATATTAAAATAAACAAACAAAAAGTGTTTATTACCAGGTAAAGCTCATTGAGCTATTAGCTTTCCCCCCCCCCCCCCCCCACAAATCATAGCTCACACAAAGTGCGGCTCATCATCAGTAACCGCGTGGAAATGTCGGGCAGTAAAACGATGTCAATGTCAAGAGCGCAGCGCAACAGTCGACGGTCGGGGGGAGCCGGTTGCCTGGCGGCGGGGGACCGCGTCACGTCGCTCTGGGGAGCTGCCGCGTCTCTGCCGTAGCGACTGGGAGGTCAAGTGGCACGGGTTGACGGAGGGGAGGGCACGGGGGGCACGGGGGAGGGGCACGGGGGGGGGGGCACGGCGGGGGGGGGGCACGGGCAGCTGGATCAATCCAGGTGACAGATTCGCTAACCTTTACGCGTTCACGTCGACGCAACGATTCTCTCGATTCAAATCGATCCTTTCGCTTCAGGATACCCGCATTGGGGAATCCTCCTCCCAATGCCTCCATCACCTCCTCTTCCACCTGCCACCTCCTCCTCCTCCTGAGTTTGATTCCTGGCCATGGACTAGATCGTTGATGATATCTGAGCTGGTCCAGGGCGCCCCCTCTCCCCCCACCACCCCTCCCCCCCCCCAACCAACCCACAATTGCCAGCGTGGTGAAGTATGGTCAAACAACAGAGCATTAATGACAACGCACGAATATACTTCCATCCAGGAGTGGATTGAGAAAGGACTGTCCGATTGTAAATCCTAATACAACTCCTCCTGATCATCCTCTACCTCCCCACTCACCTCACGACCCACGAAAGATTCCTCATCCTCGAAGATCAGGGCCAGGGTGTCTCCCTGCTCCTCCTCACGGGGGAATGACATCACCTCCTGCAGACTGCGGAGTGGGGAAGGTGCACGAGGATCAGTCACGATCTATGCACTGCTGAATGAAGGCCGTCTCCACGCCCTGCACCCCTCCACACGAGCGGATGAGTTTGCTCCGTCTCCGTGGTGGTCCATCCTCTTGGGCGCATTCCCTCCTTTAGCCGCAGCTCCGGCGTGAGTCTCGACCGCCGGGCATCGCCCTCCCTTCTGTAGCGACGCGCCCTGCCCAAGCCCCCTGCTCACTCTTCTCAACAATGCGACGACGGCGACGATGACGGTGACGATGATGATGACGACGATGACGATAATGATGACGACGATGACGATAATGATGACGACGATGACGGTGACGATAATGATGACGACGATGACGATAATGATGACGACGATGACGATAATGATGACGACGATGACGATAATGATGACGACGATGACGGTGACGATAATGATGACGACGATGACGGTGACGATAATGATGACGACGATGACGATAATGATGACGACGATGACGATAATGATGACGACGATGACGGTGACGATAATGATGACGACGATGACGGTGACGATAATGATGACGACGATGACGGTGACGATAATAATGACGACGATGACGGTGACGATAATAATGACGACGATGACGGTGACGATAATGATGACGACGATGACGATAATGATGACGACGATGATGCCTCTAAGGTGCGCGCATTCCCCAATCCCCGCGTTCCTCCTCCCGTCTCCCGGTGTCACCCCGAGGGTGCCGATCCCTTCACCCTTCTCTGTTCCAGAATCTTGCATTCATCCCGGAGGGATGACGCAGACGTCCAGTGGAGGCGTTGCTCGCCGGTGCCGTTGCCGGCAACGCACGGCTCTGGGCAGCGGCGCGCGCGTGCCGCTTGCCACCACGCGAGGTCGCGCGCAACGGGTCCCCTGACACGGCCGAGTTCGGCCTGTGGGAGGGACACGGCTGGAGAACACGCAGGAGAGAATGCGTGCGCGTGTGTCTGTCTGTGTGTCTGTCTGTGTGTGTGTCTGTGTGTAGTGGGGAGCGGGAGTGTGACGGTTAGCGCTACACTGCGATACGAATCTGGCGACCCGGGTTCGATTCCCGCTCACGGCCAACACCGGTGACGATTCTCTGAACCGGTCCTGGGCCTCCCCTAGGTCAACTCAGCCTCAAATGAGTACCTGGTGCGGTGTGTACACATTGACAGTGGGGAGACAAAGGCGGCCGGGCGTGGTGTTGGCCATCCATCCCCTCGTGTGCCGTGCCGGCCTTCATAGATGCTCGCTAACAGCACTTGCCCCTACAGTCTGTTCAGGCTATACGGGGTTCTTTGTCAAGAGTGTTATAGTTTACCCATGGTGTTAACCTGGTGACGCTCCTGGTACTGCGGTGGCGCGTGAATATTTAAATGGATGACCAAAACTAGTTCTACTACTACTGTAGACTACTGAGGACTGTATAGTAAACCCATATAAACACATAGCTGCACACACTCACAGATATACATAGAGACACATCGAGATGTATGTACCCACAGAGACTCGTAAAGACGCATAGAGACACATAGAGATGTATAAAAGACACATCACAGTTTGCAATCCAAACTATGGACTATGTTGTAAACTCATAGACACAGATATATAGAGAGAGAATATTAGAGACCCATCGAGATGCACGAGAGCCAAGCCACGCTTGTGTGATTGTAGTAATTCAACTCAAACCATGCACCATGAATAGAAACCCACTGTCGTGGTCTGCACTCCTTCAACGAAGGAGAAGGAGCAGCGACACGACACGAACTCTCTCCCTGGCCATGCCCTCTCATCGTGGCCATCGGCATCAGCAGGGCCTCGACAACGGCATCGACCTCCCGAACCACATCTCGCTGCAATTTTAAATCTAGATTGAAAACTCACTTCTTAAAGACTGCTTTTTGCGCACCTCCCGATCGGCACGGTTGGCTACGGCACGCCGCGAAAGAAATTCAACAACAAGCATCCTGCTGCTGCTGCCGCCACCACCACCACGAGCAAAACCAGACTCAAACTACCACGGCGCTGCGTCTCGTCTTAGATGCCCCAGACGTCTGACGCCGCCACTCAGCAATCTCACGCCAGACCCTGGCAGCTCCGTCTCTCTCTGTGTCTCTCTCTCTTTTATTTTGTGTTGTGCGTGGCGCATTTAGCGCCATAGCGCGTGGATTTACGGTGTTTGTTTATTTGCTGGTGACTTTGTGTATTTCGTATCGAATCGCCTCCAGTGCTGTTGCTGCTGGCGGCAATAAAAGTTGTTTGAAAGTCAAAAGTCTCTGTGTCTCTCTCGCTTTGTCTCTGTGTGTGTATCTCTTTCTCTCTCTTTGTGTGTATCTCTTTCTCTCTCTGTCTGTGCGTGTCTCTCTCTCTCTGTGTCTCTCGCTCTCGAGGGGTGCGCGCGCGAGTGAACAAAGCGCGGCGAGACGAGAACGCTGCGGGGGCCGTGTCACGTGTCACGAGCGGCGTGCGACTCAGTGGGGCTCTTGGGACCGATGGTGTCAGACAAGCACACACACACGCGTACACGCACACACACGCCCACAAACACACACAGAAACACGCACGCACACACGCGCACACACACACGCGCACACAACACACACACACTCACGCGCACACACGCACACACATACACACAAACACATCCACACACACACAACACACACGCACACAAACGCACACACACTCACACAACAACAACCGCCATTCCCCACTAAGTGGCGGTGACGTCACCATGACGCTTGTGCCAGGCCATGTGCACCTTGAGGCCACGTGAAGTGTCGAACGCCCGCGGGCAGGAGGTCACGGGGCAGACCCAGGTGCCACGGGTCGACTAAGATGACTGAGATGACCGGCTGATGCACCACCTGTGCCCCCTACTGTGCCAACCTGCTGTGCTTTAGCCACCCGGCGCTCCGCTCGTTGTTGTGAGCGTCGCTCCACCGCCCTCCGTTGTTGTTGGAGGGCGACTGCCTCCAACTGCCCAATAGCATCCTTCACGAGCCTCCTTCACAGAGGCCGATCTTGACACCGCTGGTACCAGTTATCGGCAAGTCCACTCAGCTCCACGTCCTCCTGTACCACGTCACTCAATCTCTTCTCTAGCCCGTGCCGCGCCCGTTTAGCCCCTTCTATCCGGCCGAACAAAAGCTGTTTCGGCATGCGGTGGCTGGGCATGCGGGCTACATGACCCAGCCAACGCAGCCTTGCCCGCCGGAGGAGCTCACCGATGGGACCTTGCCCAGATCTTTCAAGGATTTGTGAGCTCCTCACACAATCCAGCCTGATTAAACCCAGGATGGATCGTAGGCAGGCTAGCCTAAATGTTTCTAACCGGAGGTGTTCCATTAGGGGGGGGGGGTCCACGTTTCGCAAGCGTAGAGAAGGGAGGGAATGACCGTGGCCGAGAAGACCTGAAGCTTAGTGCGGAGCGACAGACCAGGTAGCTTCCACACAGCGTTACGCAACCAATGAAAAGATATTGCCGCTCGACTGATTCGGAGTGAGACCTCTGCTGTTAAACTGGAGGCGGTCATAAGCACACTGCCCAGGTATGGGAAACTCTCCACTCTCTCCACAACTGCCCCATCACCGATTGGGAGTTGTGGGGGTGGAGTGTCCGATGGTACAAAATACCCAGGCAGGTGCTTAGTTTTAGTGGGGCTGATGTTAAGGCCCCATCTCTTAGTGGCACGCTCCAGTCTCAGCAGCAGCGTCTCCAACTCTTCCTCTGAATGAGCAGCTATTACCAAATCATCGGCATACATAACGTGGTTGAGCAATAGGGAGCCATCCCTTGACCGCACCCGGGCATCGATCAGCCTCCCATTATATCTGTACCATATGGAGATTCCCCCGGTACAGCTATTGAAGGCTTCACGAACTACGTGGTCAAAATAGATGTTAAATAATGTGGCAGCCAGAGGACAACCCTGTCGCACCCCAAGGTGTACAGGGAATGGCTCGGACTCCCGGCCACGTAGTTTTACCCGGGCCCACTCACCATCATGAAGGTCCTTAATGATCGTGAGCAGAGGGTCAGGTACTTCAAAAGCACGAAGAACAACCCAGAGCCCAGGCCTACTGGTGGTATCATAGGCCTTGACCAGGTCAATAAAGCAGAGATGTAGGTCTTTCTGGAATTCCCTACACCTCTGCTGTAGCAGACGGACAGAAAATATGGCACCTGTGCAGGACCGCCCTTTCCTGAAACCGCAGTGGGGCTCCGCCTCTCCTCAGCGTGCCTGGCAAGGCGATGCTGAATAATCCTTGCCAGGACCTTTCCCGGCACACTGAGGAGTGAGATTCCCCTGTAGTTGTAACAGTCTGTGCGGTCCCCCTTCTTAAAGAGGGGGACCACCAGGGCATCCTTCCAATCCTGCGGAACCCGTCCAGTGGTCCAGACTGTTGTTATGTCATGTAGGGCAGTCTGTGCACAAGCGCCACCCTCCTTCAGCATTTCGCTTGGGAAATCATCTCTGCCCGCTGCCTTTCCTAGTCTCAGACTCCGGATCGCCTTCAGTACTTGCTCAACAGATGGCACTTCAGCCAGCCACTCACAGGGGGTGACTTCTTCCAATATTTGAGGCACCGCAGCCTCAGCAGGGTCATCCTCACTTTGTGCCACGATGTATGCCTAGCTGAGGGATTTCCCCTTCCCCAGGACCTCACAGAAATGCTCAGCAAATCTGCAAACCTGTTCCTGGGGGTCGGAGATTGGATCACCGTTTTTTCCGCTAATGATGGTAATAGGTGTGGTGCTGCAGGTTACTTTTTGATGGAGTTAAATAGAGATTTGTGATCGCGGGCCACTGAGGCGGACTCCATCTCCTCAGCAACCCGCGACCACCACCCATCCTTGCAGCGCCTCACGGCTCTCCGAACCTCCGAGCAAAGACTGCGGTAAGCCTCCTCATTCTCTGACGTGGGATTCTGTAGCCGATGACAGTGGGCCTGTCGCTTTTTCTCAACCAT